TTCACTTCCTGCTAGAGAGCCCCCTGGTGGTTGATGAAAAATACACAGAAAAGCCGCACCGGGCTACAATCCGCAAGGTTCAAAGTAGCAGCTTGTAGTCCGGAAAATACGGTGCCATAGGTGAAATTGAATAATTTCCACGGCACACCTGACGATCACTCACGGCACACTAGTGTGCCGCGGAACAGTGGTTGAAAAACACTGAACTAAATAAAGGCGATAAACCACAGATGCCTGGCTGTTTGACTTTCTAGGAGCGCACAGGCTGTTTTGACATCCATCATGGCGGATAATTCTAAACAGCGTGACGTCACGGGCAAACGGTCACCTTGGTAGCTTTTTTTTAACGGTCAAACTGACCAGCAGTGGCCACACACCACTTATTTATCTGCGATCTTCCTTTGTACGTTTATCTAATGATAAAGGTCTTAATTTTCCGCCAAAAACGACCTTTTCTAGAAAAAATTTGGAACTTTGGCTATGAATTTATTAAATTTAAATTTAATTTATTTTTAAATTTAAATTTTTTTAAATTTAAATTTAATTTATTTTTATTTTTTTGTCAAACTAGCGTTTGGTAGTTTTTACTTTTTAGGAAATTTTTGACTTTTTACACTCAAAATTTTCTAGAAGAAAATAAGAACATCAATCAGTTATTTGGTGTACTCCATTTTTTCTATCTTCAAAATAACCCAAAATAAAATAATAATACTCTTATATCAAGAATAAAGTCAAAATACTACCAGAGTAAAGAGCATTATTATTCTCATAATACAACTTTATTCTCGGAATATTCCATGTTATCTTGACTTTATTCTTGTAACTTTATTAATTTTGTTAGAGTAAAGTTAAAACTCCCGTATTCTGGCAGATGTGACCAGAAAAAAGCTCCACAGAAAACATCTGACTATATTCACAGCCATGTTTTCTCACAAGTTACTTTTCTGATTCGTGTCATGAACAAATGTGAGATTTAAGTTAAAATCTTCATAATTTACAGTGTTAGACAGTTAATTTATTTAACACAGACAACAGTAACACTGACTCCAACAGCCTTTGTATTAACTAGATACAGAGTTCTTTGTGCAAACAGCAGCTAGAACAGTATAAAAATACATTTTTGTCTTTATTGAGCCTAAATGTGCAATTCTTATACAAAGTGAATGCAGATATTTCTCAAACGTGTTTTTTTTTCTCTCCTTCCATTATGGAAACCTGAGTCTGGGATGCAGTTTGTGTGTTTTTCAGACATTCCTCGCTTTCCTGCAGCCTCCGACCAGGAGAGGAGGATCATTTTTTTGTAATATTTGGTGAGATGGGGATCCATCTGGACAAAATATGGCTTTACATTTGCAGCAGGTCGCCCTAGGTTCCTTGCAGGATCGGGTCAGAGACGTGTCTCTGGATCTCCTGCATCTCTGTGGAGGTCTCCAGGTGTTCGGGGAGCGAGGGGAAGCGCTGGCTGCCGCCCAGGAGCCCGGGGGCTTCGTGGACGTTGGGGGACAGGAAGTGAGGACAGGTGAGGTCAACAGAGGGCAGCTGTGGCAGGTTGGCCTCTGGTGACATGGTGTCGTCTGACGCCACGGTGAGATGGACGCCGCTGGAGAGGGAGTCTCTAGATTTGTGTTTAAAGTCAGAATCTGGACTCTGGAAACACAAAAACACTCAGATGTCGATAAAATGTTCAAATGCTGCAGCATTAATACATTTTGCATTTTTTGTACATTTTATGATAGTTGTAAATTGGAGAGAAAATCTTCACTGCAAAATTTTAAGTATTTTTGTTCTAGTTTCTAGTGCAAATATCTTAGTAAAGTTGAATATAAGATGAAACTAACTTAAAAGTAACTTTTCAGCAAGAAATAGTTTGTTTTAAGTCAATAATTCCTTAATATTGATTAAAAAACTACTAGTTCTACTGGCAGATTGTTTCATTTATAATATGGGAAAAATGTTTTATGGGTGGAATAATCTGCAAGTTGAATTAGTACTTTTTTAAAATCAATATTAAGAAATTATTGGCTCAAGAAAGCCACTATGACTTGCAGAAAAGCTACTTCTAAGTTCGTTTTGTCTCATTTAAAATGTGCCAAGATATTTGCACTAGAAACGAGAACAAAAATACTTGATAAGATTTGGTGAATTTCAGTGTTTCACAATTAAAAATAAAATATGTAGCAAAAAGAAAACAACAGGAAATCTCAGCCATAGTTTGTCACATTTGGGAGAAAAAGCAAACAAGTAGAAACTCTGGTAGATGAGACAAAAACTTCAAAATGCAACTTAGAAAACGTTCATTGGACGTCAGCCTGAACCAAACTCTGCACCGTGCCATAAGATTCAGTGGTGGCAGCATCATGCTGTCCTCTGTCCAATCTGACTAGGTCACCTGTCTTATTAACATTATTAAACATAATTTATACTAAAATACACAATATGGAGGAATAAAATGCAGTTCTGATACCTGCAGCAGGGAGGCGGTGCCGTCTATCTGTCCCGGCTGGATTGGGGGGCCCGTGTGGATGGTGGGGGTTCCCGAGCCGTACAGGGTGGTGGGGTGAGGCAGGTGGGAGCCGGGCGACACATCACTGTAGGCAGGAGGTACCGGGGTCATCTGCCTCTGGAGGAGCTGCAGGATCACGTTGATATCTGCAGTCATACGGGTCTCCAGCCTGGAAAGGGTTAAAAGAAAAAGGTCACAAGAAAAGAAAATATGATTTACATATGACGGTAAAAATGTGCACACAAGCAAAATAATCTGCATTGTCAAGCCTGACGCTTTGCAAATGAAAAACACACATTTCAAAATGACAGAAATTTTTCAAGATGGCCTCCGTTTTAGAGCCTTTTAAACCAATTATTGATTTTAGTGCTAAAATTAATTTTCCATGACAACCATGAAAATGGCAGCCATCTTGAACTTTTTTTTAAACGTGTTTATTGTTAGTGTAGCTATTTGTTTGGCAAATTAGTGGTTAATGAACCTAAGTTTCTAGTTAGCTATGCTAACCACTGGCAATAATTACCAGTTTTAGTGCAAACATTTATTTTCTATGAGGTGGCCATTTTGAAAAATGTCCACCAGAAAAAGGAAACACAAGATCAAGAAAAAAGAATATAATTTCTTTGGTTGAAAACATGTAGGCTATGATTTGACACCAAACATAATCATCTAATTTGTGATTTTATTGCTAAAATTAATTTCCATAACAACTGTGGTGACCATTTTGAAAAATGGGTGCCATTTTGAATTTTCAAACATTTCATTAACTGCAGAAGCACTGTTACACCCATTTTTTCATGATGTAAAACACAGCAGGGGAGCAGGGGGTATAGCTCAGTGGTAGAGCATTTGACTGCAGATCAAGAGGTCCCCGGTTCAAATCCGGGTGCCCCCTAATGTTTTCATTATTCTGGACCGGATCCATGGTACCTGTTGAGCTGCGACTGCAGGAGCTCCAGTCTGGATTCCAGCTCCCGAGGCCGATCCTCAGCGCAGAACGAAGGCCGAAACCCAGACCTCACTGCTGACTGCCTCCTCTGGTTCTCAGACAGCTGGCTGGCTCTGCGGTCTGACCAGTAGCCGTACAAGCCTGACACACTAATAGGGGGCGCTGCTGCACAATTTAAGAAAAATACACTGATACTTGGCATTTTCTTCTAAGTTTTCATTTAAAATCTGCATTTTTTCTTCTGTAGTCTTTGCATATATCACATTCCCAAGCATTTGATTTGGTTTAATATTAGATTATTTTTAATTCTTTGATTTTGTAGTTCTTGTTTTACAATGATATAATGATTTCTTGAAGCCTTTGTACATATATGACATTCATAAACATTTTATTTGGTTTAATATTTATTTATTTTGTAGTTAAATTGTTCCATTTTGTAGATTTTAAATAAAACATTCCCCATTATTTTAAAATAATTACAGAACTGAACTGAAGAGCTACAGTTTCTTTGCTAAATCATTCAAACCACTTGAACTTTTTCAAATGTCACCTTAAAACCAAAAAACCTCAGTATATTTAACTGAGGCCAACAAAAACAAGCACAAAGGAGAAGTTATGACATAAAATTAAAAGGGTTTTAATTTGTATTCAGCCTACATTACTTTTAAATAAACCAAAAACAGTGATAAACATCCATCCACTTCAAAATTATAAAGTTTTTTTGTGTCTTTTACATCAAATCCTGACAAAATATCTTACATTTTATGGTTTTAACATCAGACTTTTTGTAAAAGTTCAATGCATTGTTGGTACCTGAGTACGGAGAGCCTCCAAGATCCACAGCCTGCCCCATTAGAGCAGAAGGTCCGCAGTGGGGTTGGATGGTGACCCTTGAAGGTTGGTAGTCTCTGGTGTCAGAGCCGTGGACGAACAGCTCCCCCTTGTGTTGAACAGGCTTAATTTCCTCATCACTGGACTGGGAACAAACGCTGGCGCTGCTGCAGAGATCCTCCCAGTGAGACCCGGCCACCATTCTGCGCCGGTGGTTCACCGTCAGACACGACTGATCTGGGTACGAGTCCTCATGATCCATCCCATCTGCATGCAGAAGAACGCAGCTCAAGACAAGATGGAGGCAAAAAAACTGTAGGTAGAGCTTATGGGTGATTAGGGGTCATTGTAAATGGGGAAAATAGAGGAGGAATACATTTTTACCAAAAAATATCTGAAATTTTCTAAGTTTGAAGAGTCAAGAGGTTGCTAGAAAAAAACTAAAATTTTCAGATTAATCTCAGGAATATTCTGGAAAAAAAACAAGGACATTTTCTGAGTTTGAAAAGTCGAATATGTTCTATAAAAACTCAAAATTAACCTCATATTTTCTTAAAAAAAATCAAAGAGGAGTTTCAAAAGTGGAACCTTTGCTAAAAAAAAAAAACCCTCAAACATTTGAGAAAAGAACAAAGCAATTAATGAGTTTCAACAGTCAAAAAATATGCTAGAAAAAAATCTGAAATTTTCAGATTAATGTCAGGAATATTCTGGAAAAAAAAACAAGGAAATTTCTGAGTTTCAAAATGTAAAACTGTTAAACTTTTTAACACTGGAAATCTTCAACCTTTGAATTTCCAAGATTTTTTCTAAAAAAAAATCCGAGATTAATCTAAACATGTACATTTTTCACAAATGTTTTTCTATACAAAAAGAAAAAAGTTTGCCTGGCAGAAAATAAAAATAATTCTCACCCGGCCGGTTCCGGCGCCGCAGGGAGCTTCTGCGATGCCTCGTCAGTCGGCAGCCGCACTCGGAGCTCCTGCTCGGGGTTTGCTGGTTTATTCTGTCTGCCTGAGTCATATTAGTTTCAGTCGATTAAAACCCAAACAGTACATTTTCTAGCAATTAGACATTGTTTCTAAAACATTTGGTAACGGTATCCTAAGTGCTGTTTTAATGATTTGGCTGTAAGCATTTTGTTTGGGCCTGGAAGACATGCCGTGATGCACAAAAGTCTTAAACCAAGTTCTTTTTTGTATCCACAGACTTTTCTTTCACCTAATCTTGAAAATATGAAGAACTTAAACAAGAGCAAAAAAAGTTAAAACAGCTCAGAAACATAAGAAGGGCTGCAACCAACAATTATTCTGATGATCAAATTAAAAATGCACAATATTAAAAATTTTCACTACTACTATTGAAGCCCTTTTTATGATGCAATTATAAATTAGAAAAAAAAATCAATAAAATAGCATTCCCTTAGTAAACCTCAACCAGGTGAAACTAAAACTGCTGCCGGCAACTAAACGTTTACCCTCACATTTGAAAATGGCTGCAAATAGACGCAGCTATACAACAGTGCATCTTTGAAAACCATAAGTGGAGCCTTCTGCAGAAGCAGCAAGGATGCTGGTTCTTCAACAACAAAACACTTGTCTTTTCCAGCAGCCATAGTACAGCAGATACAGCAGTAAAACCAGCTGACCAAATATGCTGGAGCTCTGCGCGGGTTGCTAGGTAGCGGGGTTGGAGCTCTGCGCGGGTTGCTAGGTAGCGGGGTTGGAGCTCTGCGCGGGTTGCTAGGTAGCGGGGTTGGAGCTCTGCGCGGGTTGCTAGGTAGCGGGGTTGGAGCTCTGTGCGGGTTGCTAGGTAACGGGGTTGGTCTGCACGGGTTGCAGTGCCCTTTGAATGTGATTTTACAATCAGAAGGTTTTTAGAAACGTCTCATTTTCTAGACACCAAAAACATTAAATTACTGCCATTACTGTTTGTTTTTTTACGCAGTTCAGATCCAAATGAAAATATAAAAAAATGAAAAAAGTGAAACTTGCATAATATGCCCCATTTAAGAAATCGCAAGAAATAAGAGGAATACTGGAGGCAAAACATAAATAAATGACTCAGAATATTTGCCTTTAGATTCACTTTTTACCTTCCATTACCTTTTTTATTCAGAATAATTCAATTAATTCAATAAATTCCATACGAATGTTGTAACATCGCCCTCTAGTGGTACTCACATCTTTGAGGTTAAAGGTAATCTCCAAATTGTTCCAGAAGGAGTCAGCAAAGTCTGGATACATCTCCAGCACCTCCAGCAAGTCGTCCCTCAGGATCTTATGAAGGTCGCAGTAGGTCAAAGCCCGAACGTCAGCGCTGGATTTCCCGGGCCTGCCATAGACATGGTTGGGTTCACCAAAGATGTCGTTCTTTCCTGCAAAGAAATCCCAGCAACATACTTCAGTAACTGGGTATATAACTCTGAATAAAAATAAAAATTAGAGGGATTCCTGGTCTGCAACGGAACAAATTAACTGTCCTCACAAACGAGGCTATAAAAGAAGTGACCTATGCAGGCTGGATGTGATATTGATGATCAATGCGATTGTAAAATGAAAGTGGAGCTGTGCCCAAACACCTCGGGCGGCACAACACAAACGCATGCTGTCAAGATGTCAAGGGTAGCATCAGATGGCGCTTTGGCTACAGGAGTTTCAGCTGCAGCATGTAGCTACATGTAACTACAAAAATATGTTTTATATGTTGTTTATAGAGTATGAGACAGAATCCACTTTCTCCCAGTGCTACTATTGCAAAAATGCACAATTACTGTTCAAAAGCCACTCAGAGCCAGGAGGAGGGTCTTAGCGCTGTCAATCACTCTCATATACGCTGCTCAATGTGCAAATGGTGGAAAAACAACTTACTGTTACAGGAAAATCTGTGGCTATGCTAACTAGCATGAGCATTGGTGGCAGGTGTGAACCATGTGTAGCTTAGCATGGTGCCAATTCCCACCATCTGATTTTGATTGGTCATTTCTGACTGAGTAGTGCATTTCAAATATGTAAAAACCATATTTGCTTTAGTAAAAGTTACACACAGCAGCTTTAAAGCACAAAAAAATGACAAAATGTCTGTAGCATCCCGTCAATATTGATAAGACCAGAACCGTCTAGTACCTGTCTAGTAAAAACGAGACAGGAACAAACAGTAACTACAGTCGTTTTCACGCGTTGCATTAGATTAGCACAAATTTTTTAATTATTACAAGCGATCAGATTTTTCCATAAACATTTCAAGTCATCTACATCAATCACCAAAAAGGTGGATAGTGAATATGGGGTATTTTGCGATTTAATTAAAGCCTATGTAGGGCTGGATGTATCATGATACAGTTTTAAACCAGTTGATGCTGATCATTTTTAGTTTTAAATAAAAATGTTAATACTGCCAAACAGTAGATGTAAACTTTCCTGTTTTATCCACGGTTTTTTCTTCAGTTGCTGATTCTGTCCTGGGAAATTTGGGTCGTAGAAAACAATCTGTTTTCGCATTTTGTGCTCCTTTCCATTGTTTAACAAAAGTGAAAATAGGCAGAAGTTCATTCCCTGGGACTTGTTTTAGTCAGTATATTATTGGTTGTTGTTTTTTAATTAGGAAAATAACAACAACTACATATTAAAGAATATTAACTACGATGAAAAAGAAAATAATCATGTGATATTTTCTTGGGGGGGGTCATAGGCCCCTGTAATCCACCTGCTGGAGCCGCCACTGCTAACCTTTTCTTGTGGAGCTGAATTCCATTACCATAGCAATGCTCACAAGAAAGACACCAAAATAAAAGCACATTATCTGAGCTGTAGTTCCAGTAGGTACAGGTAACTTTACCCAGCTAGCTTTTCAATGTCCATTGCTTTATTTCCAGCTCACCCAGTATGGCCACCACCACGTCGTCCCTCAAAATCTCGATTGAACCCCTGGAAATGAAGTAGAGGGCGGTGAGAATATCCCCGCTGTGCACCAGGGTGTCACCCGGCGGGGCGTGGGTCGTCCTGAATCGCATGGCCAGAGCTCGCAGGCAGCCTTTGTTGGCGCCCCGAAAAGCTTTGCAGTTCTGCAGCAAGCTGCGGTGCAGATGGAGGCAGATGTCGGCCTGCAGGCATTCAGGAAAACCCTTCAAAACCTGCAAAGTAACCAAACAGCATGAACATTTAGTCAATTCCTCACTTTAAATTGGCTTGTTACATCATTCTCTGAAGTGCATCATCACTAGAAAGTGGGTCAACAACTTCAATAAAGAAGCGACACAATTAACCTCCTGATCTGCAGTGCATCACCCCGGCTTTACAGAAAGCAAGTTGGTGAAGTTATAAGGAACATTCCTGATGCAAAGGACAAACACCGGAGAACTGGGTCAAAACAGAACATTGCAAACTCCCTGTGTCAAAGTTAATGCAGCAGATGAACCGTAAAAATCACTCCAAGGAAAGCAGGAGCTCCAATAGATGGTAATGTGACGCATCATTTTTACCAAAACATGTCCTTATATGTGCTACAGCTTCCAAGGGAAACTTTGTGTTTTTGCCTTTGATTGAAATTTAAATTTCTGTCTTGTTTTTTTTCACGAGTGGCGTGTTTTTATTTTACATTTTTTCGTCTTTTTGACTTGTATATTGAAAAGTAAAAAAAAAAAAAAAAAACACACACAATAAAACATCCCCTTCAGGTGAAGCAGTGCAAAAAATAAAAGGTTCTCCAATTCAACAAACACCAACAAACAAAGTAGTTTGTAAAATGTAACTTTATCACACTAGATAAACTATTTGAAAACCAAAATGATTGGTGAATATTTTTGCAAAAAAGGATCACATACTTCACATATATTAATAACAATTCATGAAGTTACTGCTAAACCCTGAGCTCTGCTCTGATATGAGGCTGTAACGGGTTTTTGGGGCTTTAAAATCACTCACAGCGTTCATGTCGATGCCGTTGGTGTAGGACCAGGCGTGCTGGAAATACTCCTCCAGTCTCTGTCTGAGGCCTCCTGGGATCTGGTGGAAGCGGATGAACTCTTTGACCCGCAGCATCTGAGTGTGGTACCGGGCCGTGCCAGAGTACAGCCGCTGAATGATGGCCGATACGTTCCCAAAGATGCTGGCGTACATCAGAGCTGAAAGGCGAAATCCTTTGTTTGTAGATGATCAAAATAAATGCCATCTGGTGTCAGTCCTGTTAAAAATCTGCTAAAATGTCTGAGAATGTTTTCCAGGAGGCCAGAAGCACAGCTAATCTAGAAAACCTTTATGTATAAAAAGAAAGACATGAAATTTGGGTTGGTTTAAAATTGTCAGATAACACAGTCAGGACTTTAGCGGATACTTTTGGAAATTCCCAGCAAATTACCTTAATAGAACTATAAATGTGATGCATGATGCTTTCCTGAACAGGTTAGGATCGAAATATGGTCTACACAAATCACGTTCATCACGTTTTTTACACAAAATCATTCTTAAGTCATGAGAGTTTAGTCTGCTCAGGCATGCCCCCTAACTCAACATTTACACTCACACTTGGAAATGGTTGCAAACACATGTGCAGCTTTACAACCGTACATCTGTGAAAAGCAGAAGTGGAGTCTCCTGCACAACCAGCAAGAATGCAGCAAGTCGTTTCTGGATGGTAAGTCAAAAACAAAACATTTGTTTTTTGATGTAGTAAATTTCCGCCAAAAAACTTAGAAGAAAGTACTGAGTTTGAAAAGTTGAAAGCTTGGAAGAAAAACCTCAGAAATTTTCAGATTAATTTTAGAATTTTTTACAGATAAAAAATTAACATTTCATAGTTTTAAAAGTCAAAAATTGGCAAGAAAAAGAAATAAAATTTTTAGATTAATCTCAGAAATTAAAAAAAAAAAACTTGGAAATTCTAAAATCGAAATTTTTAGAGTATCAAAAGTTGAACATTTTGGACTTTTGAAATTCAAAGAACATTTCTGAGATTAATCTCAAAATTTCTGAGTTTTTTCTAGCAAATTTTGGACTTCTCAAACTGTTTATTCCTAGAACATTTCTGGGATTGTTTTGGTGGAAATTTTCTTTTTCCCCGTCTACAGTGGCCTCTGATACGCTGTCGTAAAATGTAGCTACGAGAGGCGGGTTGAGTATCTGAACATTGAACTCAAGAGTAGCACTAGTAGTGAGACTTTTACTCAATAAACGTTAAAAGTTATCGATCCAAGAAATTACTCAAGTAAGAATGAAAAAGTATTTGGGAAAAATTCTATTCAGGTAATAGTAGCTGATCGAATTATCAATCATTTAATATTTAAAAATTACATAATCAGATGAACCAAAATATAAAGTTAGAGGAAATTTGGGTGTTTTAAGGCCTAAAATGACAATAATTAATATAACTAACAAAAGACAACAAACCCAGGCAAAAGAAAATGTTTCCAAATCAGTTGCTTTCAATAATAATAAAAAAAAACTTATGAAACTTTACCAGAAACTGCAGGTGTGAGTCTGTGTCTGGTGAATATTTGGTAAAACAAGTTTGTTTTTCATTCAGTAGGTAGAAAATACAAGAGTAGAAATACTTCAAAATAAAATTGCTCAAGTAAAAATACTCCTCAAAATAATTTTTTTCAACAAAGTTACTCAGGTAAATGTAATTGAGTAAATGTTCTCTCAACTGTCTGTTTTTGTAAAATAAATGTTTCCACTGTACTCACAGCCGATGAGCATGACGCAGATGGAGAAGATCTTCTCCGGGTTGGTGTTGGGCGAGACGTTGCCGAAGCCCACGCTGGTCAGGCTGCTGAAGGTGAAATACAACGCCGTAACGTACTTGTCCTGAATGGACGGGCCGGAGCTCCTGTCGCTGCTGTTATAGTGTTTCCCTATCTGGTCGGCCAGGTTGTCCAGCCAGCCGATCTTCATGCCGCCGATGCGTTCAGAGCCGGTGCGCTCCACGTTGCCGATGGCGTACCAGATGCAGGCCAGCCAGTGGGCGATGAGCGCGAACGTACACATGAGGAGGAACAGAACCGCCGCTCCGTACTCGGAGTAGCGATCTAACTTCCTGGCAACTCGCACCAGCCTCAGCAGTCTGGCCGTCTTCAGAAGCCCGATCAGAGTAGTTTGGGTCTGCGGCTCCGTCTGCAGGGGTGAGAGGTCATGTCAGCGTTAAAGCAAGCTGCTTTGCTAACAGACGCCTATTAGTATTGTAAACGTTACATGTTGAAGAGGAAGGTGCTCAAATAAAAAAAAAGGCCACAAATGAATCTTTTTCAAATCTAATAAAATTGGTGTCAAACTTTTGTGCTAAAAGATTTTTATTTGTGTTACTATTATACCAAAGATACTAAGAAAAAACATTCCCAGAGGTCATTATCAATACTTTTAAAGCAAAAGCAGCACAATTTTTACTGCACAAACGTAGCAAAATGTTAAACACCAACCAGACTTATAGACAAACAAAGTAGTTTGATAAAAGCGTCATAAACAAGGCTGGTCTGAATGAACCAGTCGTCTATGAATGTATTAACTTCTTCAACTTTGCAACTACGTCACTGAATCATTCGAGGCGCCATGATGGATGTCGGAAGTGAGGGATGGGAGTAATGAACGGAGCAGCTGAAGTTGTTTTCCAAAGTTGTTTTTTCCAGTTTATTTGAGCCTTCTAGTTGTTTGAGTCGAGTTACTTTGTCTTTGAACGTAACACGCCTGGTTGGGGCTCATAGACTGCGGTATTTATAAAAACTGGAAGCAGCTAGCTTAGAAACCGACCCATACCTGCTCCCGCATTACGTGTTGATCAAATTACCGACTCTGCCTGAATTCACACAACATGATTTATATTAATATGTCATAAACAGCATTTCCCCTTAAACCGGAGCAGCATTAAAAACGTACAGAAGACGAGATGCTAACCAGTTTTTCCATAAATGCTAGGCTACATGACGGCACTGTCTCCATGGTTAAAAACGGTTAGAAACACCTTTTCCATAATGCGATATTTCATTGCATCTTACTAATCAGACTTCTAAACTATATGAACATTAATTTTCTCATCTTATATAAAATGTTCGCTGCAAATCTGCGAATACACTGAGTTATTATTGACGGTCTTTCCTCATTAAAAGATGAAGCCCTAGGCGGAAATTCAACCTGGAAGACTCTTCCGGCATCACCTATTACCACGCCTTCACCCCAGCCAATCAGGACGCACCACCTCTCTACCTCGATCCAATCACCTGGCAAGAGCTCCTTCAAAAGACGAAGCAACCACAGATCCACCCGCTTCAGTTGTGCTTCAACCCACCTCCTCCCTGTTTCCACCACCAGCCTTCCAGACGCCTCCAGGTCCCCTGAAGACTCCTCTCTCCAGCTCCGCTCCACCACCAGTGACCGGGCCCGGGGGAAGACCTACCTGAGCTTCGTTCGAGCCGATCATTCAAGCTCGCTGCGATTCTCAGCACACACGTCTTCCGCCGGTGTCCGAGCGCCAAATTCTCGGTCCAATAAAACTGTCTAACTGCTGTTTCTCTCTCTGCGTGAGTCTCTACAGATTGAATTAAACATTAAAATGACAATTTTGTTTTGCATCCTTTATTTGTTTCCTTGATCATAATTAAAGTGAAATCAACTAAATAAAAGCGATATTAGGAAACCAGCTAGTTTTACAAACAAATCGGTTGTTTTGACGTCCGTCTTAGCGGAGTGGGTGGAGTGCTAGAAACTACACAGCCAACAAAAATGGCTGCCAAGTAAAGTAGTTTCCTCTCACCTCTTGTGACCCAGAGCGCGATATGAGCAGATCGAACGGGATGGCGGCGACTATATCGATCAGGAACCAGCCCTTGAAGTAGTGCTGCGCGATGCGGCCCGGGTGGCTGACCACCTCGTCGTTGCTGTTGACGTAGGTGGTCCTGAAGTTGATGAGGATGTCCACGATGAACATGACGTCCACCACGAGGTCCACCACGTTCAGCGGGTTGCAGGTGTAGCCGCAGGAGCCTCCGTCATCTTCCGCCTCGTTGAGAAGGAAGGCGGCAGAGTAGGGGGTGAAGATGGCCGTGTAGATGACCAGCAGCAGGATGACCCAGTCCCAGACGGCCTTGAAGGGGCTGTAGTGGAGGATCGTCCACTTGTGGATGCGTGGGGCCTGGAGCTTGTACTCAGGCAGCACGTCGGCGCCGAGGGACAACACCTAAAACAGACGTTTTTATCCATTTATTGACTGTTTCGTCACAGTTCAAATTTTTGATTGAGGCAGATCATTTAAAGGGTTTCTAGTTAATAAGAATTAAGAAGAAAAGATACAAGCAAACAGCACTGGTTGTATCACATGATATCTCTTTAAGGGTGATTTACTAGGCTTCCTCTTCTTGGACTATTCAACTTTTTTTGCACAAAATCCTTCTTTGACATTCTTAAAATAATATCTAACCCTGCTCACTTCTGCCTGTTTCGAGCTCCTTTCAGGATGAGCTGTTTTAGGGCCTCTTGTCTCTTTAAGTCCAAATAAGCTGCTGCTGGCCACGGCCCCCAACTCAACGTTTACACGCATGTGAAAATGGCTGCAAACAGATGCACAACTATACAACCAAACATCTTTGAAAAGCAGAAGTGGAGCCTCTTGCACGACCAATAAAAATGCAACAACCGTTTTTTAAACGGTAAGTCAACAACAGAACGTTTGTCTTTTCCAGCAGCCGTTGTACAGCGGTAAAACCAGCTGTACCAGAAGTTCTGGAGCTCCGCTGGGGTTGCTGGGCAACTGGCTGGAGCTCCGCGGAGGTTGACCTGTTATGCAAAATGTGGCTTTTGCATAATAGGTCCCCTTTGATAACACAGTCAGTCGGGAGTGAGTGAGATCCAACTGACCGGTACGACGAGATCCTTGGCGGCCCGGTTCTCATCCTGCCGCTGACAACAGGAACAAACCTGCATCGCCTTCCAGCAGAAATCAGTCCCCAAAGTGTTCCCTCACCTGCCTGAGTGCAACGTTTTAACCCTCCCTCCCCGTTCTGGTGCCGGACATGTGACAGCTCCAGCCAGCGTTCTGGTCAATCGTGGACCCGGGTAAGTGCTGGTATCGACTGTGTTCCCACATGGAGAGCTGAGATTAGTTGCTTCATGAAAACAGTGAAGTTGGGGTTCTTTGGAGATTATCAGTGCAGGTGAGAAAAGCTTCTTGTTGATGCACCGTTTCTCTCGTCTTCGTTCAGGCGAGGATAATTAGCAGCAGAAACAGCTGGATTTGTGCAACAAGCGCAGCTGCAGACTCTTTAACCCAGTTTCACCAAATGTTTTGGGACAAGTATCATCTAACTGCACTTTGCCGTGGCTTGCAAAAATTATTTATATTATACTCTCATAAGTGAACAAAAAATTCTCACAGCTAAACACTTTTTTCTCATTTCTAACTTCTTTTTTAAAAAGAAAACGTGAAAAAAAATATGATACAGTGTGAAAAAATATTTTTTTTATTTGTTTTTCTGGGCACTTTACACCTGGACTAAACTGCAAAGAAATATTATACCTTTACTGTTTTACACTGGATTTTATTTAGAGGTTTCAACTTACATGGGGGTGAATACACATGCACACCACACTTTTCAGTACATGTTCAAAATAAATAAATACATCTTTCTCTGCCAGTTAAAATGAAAACAACCAGAAATAGTAAAGCAAATAGCTTCTCAAGGCTAAGTACATGCAGAAAGGTCTCTAAATATGTACTTGGCCATATTAGGCAGAAAGAAAAAAATCGGAGGAGAAGTAAAGCAAGGCCCTGGCAGGGAATAATCAGTAGTCTATTATTAAAGAGAGAGTTGCTTTCTTTTCTCCAGCTCCATAAATCTTTACACAAATCCAGTGGGAAAAGGCAGAGATCCTCACATGCAACATGAGCGCTCACTCTGATGACAATATAAACACGCGAGGAAAGGTTCACTCATCCAAAAAATTTTATGCTATTGACTTTGTGCACCACTCTGTTTCATAATGGAGAGCTGGGAACAGGTTTGCATGCAACGCAGCATGTTAGCTTAAGCAAAGTTTATAAATCTATTCAGTGGAATATCCAACCTGTGTCGTTTTTAGAAGATATACAGACATAATTTAGGATAAAACTCAAATTCTGAGTGAAATTACGACCAACGTATTTGGTCGGTTCATCTTTTTTTAAGTGAATTAAAAGTAAATAAGCTGCAAATTCTGTCAACAGTGTTTACAAAAACCTATTTGAACAGAATCGAGCTGTAAAATTCGACAGTGACTTAGGGAAGGTCACCGAGAAGGCAAACAAGAACAGCACACAGAAGAAATGGCAACAATCAAACAGGAGTTTGGAGCTAGCGAAGATAAAACCCTAAAAAAGTACTCACAGGTTGAAGTTTCTGCTTAAAGCTCATGATGGCGCTCACCAGAAAGGAAAGAAAGGAGAAAACTAAGAAGATGTTTTTGAAAAGAGAGCGGTAGGAAGTTCTGTGTTTGCGTGTTTGTGTCTGACTCCTCTCTGTTGCCTCGCTCTTCCTCCCCGTTCGGAGCCCTGCCCTCGACCAGAGATCTGCGTTCTGCATAAAAAAATCATCCACCGACTCCCTGAATCCCACTGGCGTTTAAAAACCGATAACTGGACTAAAAACCAACAAGTCCTCCTCAGCGAGCGAACCTTTTTGTTTTACGATCTGCCTGGGAAATAACTATATAAATATTTACATGAGGGATTTTTTTTTTTTTTATGTATTGTGCTGCGATCAATAAAACATCAATAGCTGGCTGTTACAGTTAAATAACCCAGAAACAAGGTTATGTGTAACAGTGACATGCCTTCTGGCCATTTTTAAATGCCATCCACACTGCAAAAACACAAAATATAACCAAGTATTTTTGTCTAGTTTCTACTGAAAACATTGTAGTACACTTAAAATAAGACAAAACTTACTTAAAATGAATTCTAGGCAAGAGATAGGAGCTTGTTTTAAGTAAATAACGCCTTGATATTGATGAAAAAGTAAATTATTTCACTTATTAGAAAGTAGAACAGGAAAATACCATAATATGCAGTTAACATTTGAATCTGTAATATTTTAAAACACAACAAAGTACACTGCAAAAACACAACATTTTTGTCTGGATTATACTGCAAATATCTTATTACACTTGAAGTAAGGAAAAATTAACTTGTAAGTAACTTTTCTGCAAGATATAGGAGCTTTTGTTAAGAGATTGATTTCTTAAGATTGACTAGAAAAAGTAAAATGTCTTTGTAAGTGGAACAAGTACTTTTTAAAATCAAGTAATCAAGCTTATATTTCTTGCTGAAAAGTTACTCATAAATTGGTTTATTCTTATTTCAAGTGTGTTAAGACATTTTCTGCAGAAAGTGGACTAAAAATACATGAAGATTTTGTGATTTTGCAGTCTAGAAACCTGGACAATTATTCTTAAGATTTCAGAATAAAATGATTAAAATCAAATATGACTTTAAACTGAACAATGAGAAAGCATCCCATCTTAAAAAACTGAGATCTAGCATTGTTTAAATGTGGAAATCACATCATTCTCCTGCTCTGTAAGCAGCAGTCAGGCTTTTTATAACATAATCTCATCATTAAGAGTGTTTTAGAAGTAAAACAACAAAGAACATCACAGACAGAAATGGTAATATAAAAATCCAAATCAATTTATAATACCGATTTCTCCTAATTGCACTCTTGCACTGTTGCAACCCTGTTTAAAGCCAGAGGGCGCCATAAAAACACGGATTTTCACACACGCGCACACACACACACACACACACACACACACACACACACACACACACACACACGCTTGGCTTTCTCTTAACTCGTCTTTAACGAGCTGAAGCTCAATCAGTCACACTGTGTTATCTGCACAGACAAATCAATACGGACAAAGATCAATGATCACTTTCATTTCTCTTTCTTTTTTTTGGGAAGGTGTCAAGTCAAAATCCAATCAGAAAAAAATAATTATGAAACAAAAACACAAGTAAGAGCAGAAAGGTGATAAAAAAAGCTAAAAGTAGAAAAAAAATAATCCAATCATTTCACCTTTGAAATCTAACCAAAAACCGTTTCTATTTTTATTTATAACTCAGAATCAACCTTTCTCTGGAAATTCATAAAAACAACATTGTAAAAAACACGAAGGCTGCTTCTGGGGTGCAGCTTTGCACAAACACCCGCTGACCTCCATTTCCATTAGCTGCAGAGGCCAAGGTCAACGGCAGCATCAAGCCTCTGAATGCCGCTCGATAGCCGCACAGCGGCGGCCCGTTTCTCTTTTTTCTCCCTCGCTTTCATAACTGCATCTCACCAGGACCCCGTTTTACTCCCACAGACAGTCTGTGAGCCCCGCTCACCCTCCCACTCTCCACATGCAGCCTCACAGAGTCAGCACCCATCCTGAACGGCTTCCTGCCACTGAAACACACCTGATGCAAGAGCTTTCTGTAAGAAATTTCTGTAAGAAACTGCCACATAATGGCTAAGGAAACTTTTTTTCTCCAGCGTTGCTAAAATCTGTGGGCAGCCGATGAGCAACTGAAGAAAACAACAGGAACGTGAAGACACTTTTAAGGAAAACAGAAAATCTGTTGTATTTGTTAAAAATTCAGATTCAGATATTTAATTTGACGCAACAAACTGGTATCTAGTTAAACAAATAATCTATAAAAACTATGAGAAGTGTCCAGTGGTACACTACAAAAACACAAAATCTTACCAAGTATTTTTACCTCATTTCTAGTGTAAATAATTTAGTACATGAAATAATACAAACCTGATTCACAAGTAACTTTTCAAAAATATAATCCCTCAATATTGATGAAAAACCAACATTACTTACAGATTATTCCACTTTTTGTCCATGTTAAAAGTGAAATAATCTATCGGTGAAGCTAGTACTTTTTCCATCAGTATTAAGGAATCATTTACTCAAAACAAGCTCCTACATGTTCATAAAAAGTTACTTGTTTGTTAATTTTATCACATGTAAAGATATTTGCACAAGAAACTAGAGCAAATACTTTGAAATTTTGTGTTTTTGCAGTGAAAACCTGGTTATTATTCCTGAGAAGAGTTTAATTGCTGTAATAGCAAGAAAAAAACTATATTTGTGTTTATTCATACTATATACTAGTGTAATCTTCATTCCCATGAATTAAAAGTTCTGATATAAATTCATAAAGTTAAATTATGGACTGATTTTAAGGGATTCTTCAAGTATACACTGCAAAAACATAAAATCTTACCAAGTAAACACACAACCTATAAAACTATTCATTAGTTCAGTAGTTCAAAGCAAAAACAGAATCTTCTAATATAAACATCTTAGTACACTTGAAATAACACAAAACTAACTTACAAGCAACTTTTCAGCTAAATACAGCAGCTTATTGTAAGTAAATAATTCCTTAATAGTTATGGAAAAGTACATGTCTCATTATAGGTGAAATAATCTGCCAGTGGACTTTAACTGTTTTTTTTAATCAATATTAGAGGAATTACCCAGATAGCACATGATGTTAAATCAACGTTGAAAAATAGTTAGAATCGTTGATTTTTGGTTGAAG